CAACAAACCCTAGGAGCATTCCAGATACGAGCTGTGGGCCCGGTAGGCAATCCAGACTCGTACTGTGGGCTCGGGAGCATTCCAGATACGAGCTGTGGGCCCGGTATGCAATCCAGACTCGTACTGTGGGCTCGGTGGCAATCCAGATGTGAGTTGTGGGCCCGGTAGGCAATCCAGACTCATACTGTGGCCCAAGGGTATTCCAGTCTGTAAAGCTGTGGACCTAGTACATGCTGTTATTTGTATATGTGTTATTTGCAGTGTATCGGTATTTTGGGGGAACTCACTAAGCTTTCGGGCTTACAGTTTCAGTTTATTGTTTCAGGTACATCATGGGGTCGTGGCAAGGCAAAGGCGTGATCGTATAGCTCCTCACTTTTTATGACTGTTTCTGGGATACTCTGATATAGAACTGTTTTGATAACAAGTTGGTAATAACTGTTGGTTCCTAAATGTTTTAAAAAGTTAAAATTGGCCAAATTTTAAAGGGTGTTACAGTGGCGGCTAATGAACAGACGGCGGCTGATGCATCATCTAGGTTTAGGGTTTTTAGCACGGATGGGTTTTAAATGGGAAGAAAATGTCATCGGGTTCAAGTCCCGCTTCCTTTTCAACCTTTGCTCTTTTATCCAATTCTGACCCTCCCCATCAAATCTTTTTCAAAACAACTCCTATATTTACCATTCAGCCCCTCACTTCATAATCTTTCTCAAAATCCAAAACTTACCCTTTAGCCCCTACCTCCAAGAATCCTTTTATAATAAGTCCATATAATACCAAACACCCCTTGACTTATGAAGTTCTTTACAAATCAAGCCCCAAAATTACACTTTAACCCCTGGAGATTCAATTCTTGTCATTTGGCTTCCCGAAACCAACTCCCAGCTAATTATTATTTGGTTTTGGGTTATAATAATATAAAATAATAATAATAATCACTTCTCGGGGTTCCGGATTTATTATTTAATTATTCTATTTTAAATGGGATGTTACAATTGGTCCAGAATTGTGCTTACGGGCACACAATAGATGTAAGAAACAAAATAACTTAGCCCTATATATATATATATATATATATATGTGTATATATATATATATATATATATATATATATATATATACACACACTTTAGAATATGGTAATATAGATTGTATGTTTATAATTTTACTGATTAAGATGTTTTTTTACTTAATGATCTTAATATGGAAATCACTTAAACCATACATATATACAAGTTTGTTGGGGACCATCTTTGACACTCCCTCATCCAGCCGGAGTGTTTACTACACAAGATTATGAGGATATCGAGATGGTAGATACCAACTCAAATGGATATCCTAGCCTCAGCTTCAACAATACCCCCACCTACAAGTGCATCACATGCAAGTGAAGATTCGTCTGGTTGGTCCAAAAACAAAATAGGAAAATAAAATGCACCCAAGGACACACTACCTACACTGGATGATGACATAAGAGAGGTTGGCAAGGAAATTATGAAGGCGGCTCAGGCGTTTGCGCAAACAAATAATCTTGACGATGAGATAGATGAATGTATTGATAAATTGAAAGGCTTGGGGTGGGGAAATTCTGATCCGAAATACACCACTTATCTTATGTTATTCGCTGAAAATGTTGGTAACAGGAAATTTTGGTTACGCCTCAAGTCTTCGACTTGTGAGTTGTGGGTGACAAGTTCGGGAAAGAATTTCGGATTACTTGGTTGACTTTAGTATGACTTTAGGATGTTTTTGGCTTTATGCTTTATGGATTTATATTATGGTACATGTTATGGATTTTTATGTGTAGGGTTGTTATGTGTTATGTTTAAGATTTTTATGTTTAGGTTTTTTATGTGTTATGTTTAGGATTGTTATATGGTATTGATTTTTATGTTATGGTTTATGTTATAAATGTATGTGATTTATATTTGACATTTAACAGGTTACATATGGATAAGGAATGTGAGTTTTTAGGTTTCCTTATACTCTCATGGTATTGGTTGATGTTGGTCCGACAAAGGAAAAAAAGAATTGGAAGAATAAAAGCCAGCGAATCGAAGAAACTAGGTATGCGTATACACAAGATTTGATACATGGATATCCTATACAATGTTACGATATGATGCGTCTTTCACAAGATGCATTTGTATTATTATGCAATCATTTTACTCAAAGAAATTGGTTGCTACGTAGTAGGACAATAAGCGTTGAAGAGAAGATAGTTATATTTTTAAATGTTATAGGACATAATGAACGTTTTCAAGCCGTTAAAGAAAGGTTTCACCACTCCACACAAACGATTCATCAATGTTTTCATGAGGTCCTAAGTGCAATGATGTGTTTTGCAAGAGAAATTATTGTACCAACATCTTATAATACAACAAGAAATACCTTGGAACAACATAGACGTCTAAAAACATATTTCTTGGAGCATTAGGTGCACTAGATGGAACACTTGTACATGCAATTGTGCCCGTTGATGAACAAACTCGCTATAGAGGAAGAGGAAAAGGTGAATGTTATCAAAATGTAATAGGAATTTGTGATTTTGATATGATATTCATCTTTATATGGGATGGATAGGAGGACATAACACACGATTCTAAAGTTTTGAAAGAAGTTGCATTTAATCCGACTTTTGGATTTCCATTCCCTCCACCAAGTTTGTAATTTTTCTATAAGTTTTATTATCTATATTATTTATATGATAAATTTGTCAATCATCTACAAATAAATATTACATTTGTGATGCCGCATACACCAACACCCGTAGATTTATGGCTCTTACCGCAATACTAGGTATTGGTTAGCCGATTTTCGAAGAAACAGAGCTTTAACTAAGGAAGAAAGGTTCAATCATGCTCATGCACAACTTAGAATATCATTGAACGTGCTTATGGTGTATTGAAGGCGAGATTTCCAGTTTTAAAACATATGACTCCTTATCCTTTTCCAGTGCAAAGTGACATAGTCATTGCTTGTGTTGCACTCCATAATTTTATAAGGAAATACAATATTCAAGATGACTTATTTACGAACTTTGAACAAAACACTATGGTTACTCCTGATGTGGAAGGTGGAGGAAGTGAGGACCAAAACATACAAGGCATAAAATAAGGTTCAGAAGCCGTTGACTATATGACTACTTTGTGCGACCAGATTGCTAATCAATTACTTTCAAATGGTTCATGTTAAATGATGTACTTTTTTTTATTATGTATGACAACTTGTATTTGGATTTTATATTATACTTTGTATTTGGATTTTAAATGATGTATGTTTAATTTGGATTTTATGTGATAATTTGTATTTTTATAATTATTTATCCAGCACAAGGGACAACACAAGGATAATATGGTCATTTTTATCATTCAGCACAATCAATCAGAGAAATAATCAAACATCATAAACTCAGTCAGATGTGGACTTAGTCAACATTTCTAACCCAAACAACTTCTAACTCAGTCAGCTTTAACCTAATCGACAACTATCAAACGACCCCTAAAACACGTTAGTAAACGGTACTTTTGCTTTCCACATTTCTTTGTTGTTAGACACTTCCAATCATTCCATGATCCACGTAACTATGTCCATTACATTTATTTTCTTGACATTTCATAGGATCAATAATTCTTTTTCGTTTTTTTTATGAAAATAGATAAAAGAGTATAAAATTTTGAGAGAGGATAATTATAAGGGAAATGTAAGGTGTGAACAAAAGGGGGCATGTTGTGTCGATGCGAGTGTGAAAATATAACACGTCCCACCACTCATCTAATACAAAGTAGGACGTGGACAACCACTTCTGTTAGATAATACTAAATACGTAAATATATTCTTCGCATATCAAGTTCAAAAAAAAAAAAAAAAAAAAAAAAAAAAAAAAAACAAACAAACAAACTTGTATATATGTATGGCTTAAGTGATTTCCATATTAAGATCATTAAGTAAAAAAAAACATCTTAATCAGTAAAATTATAAACATACAATCTATATTATCATATTCTAAAGTATATATATATATATATATATATATATATATATATATATATATATATATATATAGATATATATATATATATAATATATATATATAACCTGATAAATCAAAATAACATGGATAATAACTATAGCAAAAACATTTTAAACAAATTTATAAAAAATACTTATACAAATCTTAAAAAATAACAAAATAAATGGAATATGAGATTATTTATAATTGATTATTCTATTTATCAAAGATTATAATTGATTACCAAACATTTTGAATTTTAAAATCTCTATTAATAATGTGAATTTTAAAGGATTTAGATGAATATTTAAATTTAAATATAAAATTATAGATAGACATGTGTCATTTTTAAAGAGTAGGAAAAAAAATTAAAAATTATAAAAAAAAATGACAAGCGCAAAATCTACTCTTTTATATATATATATATATTGAAAATAGAGAATAATGTTCTTTTATCATCATTAAACAGAAAAAGAGAGTGGATTCTACCATGAACAACGCATGAATTTTTTTTATAAAAGTATTTTCTTATCATCGATGGAAAAGGATCATAAAGTTCCTCTAGGGGGAAGAATATGATGGGTTCCTAAAGCCACTTTTGACACCCTTTTTGTCCATATATCAATGATTGTTCATGTGCTTTATCATCTACAAAGCCTAATCAAGTTTGGTATTGGACTTTGGTGACTTATATACCTAACCTTCCTCTAGGTATATGTATGTTTTTATTTATTTATTTATTTTTATTTATTTATTTTATGAAAATATACACCTCACTAGAAAATATCCATAAAAACCACAAAAACCTAAATATCTCTTATTAACAAAGCGGTACGGAAATTCATATCAATATATAATCGTCAAATTTACAACTATTACATGTTATATAATATGAAAAATAAATTTATACATATAACTTAGTTAGCATTATATATATATATATATATATATATATATATATATATATAATGAAACAATAAATGACAAGTTATAATAACATCCTAATAATAGCTCTAGCAACGTTAGCAGTATTCTCAACTCCCTTATTCATCTCTGTCAGTGTCACCGGCGACTTATGACCACCACCACTAAAACTCCTCTCACATGCTTGAGCCTCCACCGCAGTATCCGCCATCCCATCTTCAGCAAACTTGGGCTGACCACCATCCAACGCCTGTATGGCCGACGGCACATCTGCTTTCACCACCGCTATGTACATTTGAGCGCACTCATTTAACGACCGCCGGAGCTCAGGGTGTGACCTATAAAGAGACTTGATGTGTTGTATGGCTTGAGTCGCCTTAACCCTTGTTGCACCAACCATGATGAGTCCTAAGTCACTAACATCACCACTTGAGCTCTTGGGGTTTGATAAGAGAGTTGTGAGGCATAGATTGTATGAAGGTGTGGCCTTACATGTGCTTTCTATCAACTTTCTATCTGCCATCACCATTAATGGAGCTTGAAAGAGATGAAGAGATAGAAAAATGAGAAAAGAGAAGAGCTTCATATCGATGAATTGATCCTTAGCCTTTGAGATTAGTTTGCTTTCCCAAGTGGAAGTGTCATACTCTATTTATGAACAAGCTAGCACTCTCTTTTAGGAGTTCGAATCTTTAAATCCAAAGTAACGTACAAGTTTTAATGGTTGATGTATATCCTTTGGAATTGGTATTGCATTGCACTTGAGAACTTTGGCTCTAAATAAGAGAGTATAGATAAAGTTGATAGTGACACGATTCTCAAAGGAGTTTTGGATCTTACTCACACCTTCTCAAAATAAATATGGATTATTTTATTTCTTATAAATAAATACAATTATTAACTTTTTCTAACAGTTAAAAAATTTAATAAAAAAAAATAATAAGACCAGAGGGAGTGGGAGTGGGTGAGGTCTAGGCCGCACTTCACCCGCCACATCATCACGCTCACCGCCCCTGGATGCGGTCTAGGGCGCATGCACTCCCATTTCTCTCTCTCCTCTCTCAACCAATCATCTTTTTTTTTTCTTTTTTTTCTCTCTCCTAACCGTTTTCCCATTCCACCTTGTGGTTTCAAATTGATAAAATGAAAAAAAAAATATGAGTTGACATCTACGTGACATAGAAGGGAGTGCGGTTTCAATGACACTACTCCCTCCAACCTAATAACCAACCAAAAGCTGGACAATATAATGACACACACAACAATTATATGGGTGAGATCGTACAATTATTAAGTGATTGTGTATACAGTGGAAAGTGTAGTGTAACTCCAAGTTCTTAAAGGCATTACAATTATTAGGGATATTCATAAGAATTTCCTTTGGCATTAGGACACCACAATGCATTAAACTTATTAGAGTTTAATGGACTGACACATCATCATTTTATTTACTATACAACTCTATATTAATTCTTCTACAATGCATTGAACTCAATAGAGTTCATTGAAATATATATTTAATAGTTAAAATGTTTCATTTTTCCCATGAAGAGTTCAATAGAGTTCAATGAAATATATATTTAATAGTTAAAATGTTTCCTTTTTCCCATTGAAGATTTCAATGACCATTGAACTCCATATCTATTAAATGCCAACATTGCATCCTACAATGGTAGAGTTAAATCCATTGAATGTCAATTAGGCATGTCATCTCATTCAACTCTCCCACTGAACTATGTATTGTGGATGCTCTTATAATTATTATGAGTATTCACAATTTTTATCCATCCACTTAGTAAATTCAAAGTTTTTCAATTTTGCCCTTATGTAGTCACCGTCGTCAAAACCATTATGATCCCTGAAACATTAATGTATCCCTTTATATAAATTTTGTAGCCCTATTTAATTTTGATTTGTATATATACTTCGAAACCGACAACTTCCGTATATAAAAATCGGTTAAAAATCATATATATGTAATTTAAGTTGGTATTACGGTCATGAATTTTAAATTGCATTTTTCTAATCTATGCTCGTTATTTTATTTGTGAGCATGATATTTGCTTGGATACATTAGGACTGTAAACGAACTGGACGAACAGGAACAAGGCTTGTTCATGTTCGTTCGTTTAAGTTTAACAGAACAAATGAACGAACACGAATACATATACGTGTGTATGGTTCTTCGTTTTGATGGTAATGGTCGTTTATTTTTGTTCATGTTCGTTCGTTTACATTTTTTCATTTACGTTCGATTATATTCGTTCATTAATGTTCGTTTAGCATCTTAATAAACCAACATGACAATGTATTTTTTTAACCAATGAAAATGAACATAGAAATTATTTTGTTTGTGTTCGTGTTCATAAATAAAATAACAGATGCTAATTAGAGAAATGTTATAAATTTCAGTTTGTGACCGTTATTTTTGACCGTGATACCAACTTATATTACACATATATATGATTCTTATCTTATTCAGATATACGCCGGTGTGGTATTGGTATCATGCCTAAGTTTTTTTTTTCATTTAATTTTTTTATTTAAAATTTTAAGTATATTGTTATATATATATATATATATATATATATATATATATATAACAAAATATAAAAATAAGGTAAAAATTAAAAATTAAGTGTTGGATCAAAAAATAGGGACGTGGGTTCCAATTATACAAATCAAATAAAAAATAGGTTACAAAATTAAAATAGGTAGAGAAATCATATTAAGGAATCACTCCGTTTTTAAAAAGTTTGACATGAAGTTCAAACATTTAGATTACTTACGGGCAGTTTGATAACCTCATAACAGAACCATTCAGTCAACATTCAACATGTCTGATAAGCCTCTTCTAAGTTCTAAATGGTTAAGAAACCCTATGTTCTCTGAACGATTAAGAGATTGGAATTACTAAAGTACTAAATGCTATACCATGGTAAAATTTATGCTTCAAATAGAATACTATGAATCAAATTGTAATTACTTTTGCAAAATAGCAAAATGTCCCTAAACAAACCACGAAAACACACTATCACATCGCTTGGACATTTCTTTAACTTTTTTTTTTTTTTTGGGTATTGGTATTACACAACAAAAAAAACTTGTTACAAGAGAAAGATGGACACTTAATGGTATCCTCCATAAAAACTATCACCCTCTTGTTCAATACAACCCACCCTGTAAAAAAACTATACAATCCCACTCTCTCCAATCCTATGTTAATCTTCAACAACAAAACAAAAAATATCAAAAATCAGAGTATCTCTCTTTATCTGTATCTATACATGTATCTGTATATGTATCTCCCTTCGAACACAACTCCATCATTAACTCAAAAACCCAACATAATGGTAGGGTTAGGTAGGTAATTCAGACAGTCTGAATGAGTGATAATGTCATATTTCCTGTTATACCCTTGAACCCATTTCCAATATTCTTTTGGAACTCTTTTTGTACTAAATCAAGATCCAAGTCATCAACAGCTAATCCCCAATAAAAAACAACATTCGGATCTTGTATACTTTCATCAAAATACTCACTAGGGTTTGGATCACAAAAACTCTGCAATTCCAACTGCAACAACAAGATTCAAGAACATATATATAAGCAAAATGTAAAAAAAAGTAAAAAAGTACATATATTTATTTTTTTAACTTTACCTTGACTAGAAGACCTGGAAACCTTGATTTCACCCATCCTACCCAATCCCCTAGCTCATCTTTCTTAGAACATGAAAGGGTAATTTTTAAAAACCGATGGTAAATCTTTGAATAAGGGTAGGGTTCAAATAGGTTTCTCCAATCAAACTGTGGCTTCAATAAATCCTGCACCAATACTTGAATATTCAGAAATGGAAATTATTTTGCTTTTTGAAGTCCAATAATTATGTACCTGAATAAGACAATAGCCTCTGCGAAATTCGGTTTTAATTTTTGTGAAAGTGCTGTTTGTGATATTGGAATGGCAATACTCATGTGGGCTGCTAGGAAGCTGAATAGGCATTAAAGATCTTGTTTCTGGGTGATGATGTGGTAGCATTGATCCTTGTAGGATGACAGGTGTCGGCCATGGCCAAAAAGCAAAAGTCTTGAAAAAGATTGAAACCAGAGCAGCTAATAAGCTCACATTTGGGTTTCTTTGACAAATAAAGGCTGATAAAACAGCCAAATGTACACCCCCAAAAAATCCAAATAACTGCATCATATATTATAAAAATCAATAATAATATATTTCAGTTAAAATTAACAAGTAGAAAAAGAAATCCTTACATTACCATATACACCTCTCCTCTTTGCCCATAATTTAACACATCGCAGTAATTCCTGGAATATCTACAATAAAATATATACTCCATTTTAGTTATAATTATATCCATAACATTAACATATTTAATTGATCAATGTATTTCATACCTTGACATTTGGAACAAGTTGCAGGATGCTATTGTTTGCACGTACACCAGATAAACTCTTCCAACTTGTTTCATCAATTCCATTTAAGAACAAGGAGTTGAGTATATCAACATTCTGGCAAATTAAATAAAAAATGTGATTATTTCAGTCAATTAATTAAAGAAAAGTCAAAAAAAATAAAAAAATCAAGCTGACCTCAGGAACAGTTGTTACTTGAAGTTGAGCATAAGGCAAATCGATTGAGATTCCTTCAAATTTGAATCTCATTAAAGGAACCTTTGCATCTTTAACACATTGAATATCTGACACTTCTACCCTTTTTGCAAGCATGTTGTGTAAAACTATGAAAAAATCCTCCTGTCCCACAATTAAAACACAAGATGATACTTTTACCCTTTTTAGAACCATGAATTGCATACAAATTAAATCAAGAAACAGATCAGATGACTTACTGTTAAAGAGGCAAACCAAGGGCCAACACAAAGAGCATCAATATCGGATTCTGCATTATGAACCTACACCAAATCTGAAAACAAATTAGGGCACAACCAAATCTTGATGAAATGAGAAATGAAAAAGAAACTCACACCAAGTCCGTATGATCCATATGTTAATATAGTTGCAGAGGCAGCTCTAATATGATTTTCTGGCAGCCTGCGTAAGTAAGCTACGTTCTTAATCCATTTCATCACAATCTGCCAAGAAATGTAGATAGACCCCAAGATTAAAAAACACCAAAAAGTTCACGAGATTGCATCATGTGGTGTAAAAATTAGTTGGATTTCGAGCATTTACCTCTCTAAGTCTTCGAATAACATTGTTCCTCCTCTGTTCCTCTTCTTGAGAAGGCACAAGACCCTCATCGATAATAAGCTGTAAATAAAATTGCGAAGATTAACCAAGAGCCAAACTTTCACAAAAACATAATTACTTCTTTGCTAAATCATTTCCAAGAAGAACCCAAAGCAAAGAACATTGAATTAGGGTTTTTGAAGTCAGTTACCTGTTGAAGAGTGATTGATCTAGCCAGTTCAATCTGAGCGACGACAGCGGGATGCAAAGCAAATCGCACCGGATACAACAGTTGAGGGTGATGATTATGTACGAAATTAGGGTTTATGATATTCAGTGACGAATAATTCGGAACAAGAGCAGCTCTCCCGGTCGGATCATTGTGATGGATGACATATGCCATACATAAAGCAAGAATCACTCAATCTTTTGAGAAAAGATCAAACTCAATAAAGTCTTTTAGGGTTTTCAGAAAGAAAACGAATTGACAACTTGGTTTAGAAAAAGAAAGAATTTACAGAACGAAAAGGGTAGCAAGAAAATTGAAGTGACAGGAAAGACCTGTAATCGGGATTTCTTTTGAAATATATAGTGAAATTGCAACGTTGTAAAAAATGTACACGTGGAATGTGGACCCTTTTTCCGCGCTTTCTCGAAGCTTCTTTTTGAAAGGGTAACCCGTGTTTGAAAATTCTTATATCTATGTTCGTCTTTTCCTTGCAAGACAAGTAATATATATGTTTATAAAATAAAACTAATTAACAAAAATAAATATGTTTAAACACTCTTTAAACTTAGGAAAATTAAGTAAACTACTCAATTTATTAATAATAACTAATTTTTAAATTTTTTTTAAAAGAATGACCACTATCTTCGGAATAAGGCATTCTGAAGAAACACTATTCATTTCGGAGAAGTCGGTGGTATGTATAGTTTTTAATCCGAAATCTGACCCCGTACATTTCAGATTGACATAGTCAATTCCGGAGTACTATAGTCAAAACCGTACATGTAGAACTGACATTCCGGACACATATTTTGTACACCAAAAATCTAGGTTTTCATTCCTTATATAACATGTGGTATTTCATTTTGTTATTAATTACAACCAAATTTTCATAATTCATTGTAATTGCTTGAAAATGAGTTTCACATACTACAACCATGAAGAAAAGTTTTACCAACTTGTCGGTTTACCTGCAGTCCTACACAACTTTGGGCGGACGAACCATCATAGTCACACGAACATCAAAACGGATTGTTTCCAACTCTGTCTATGACTATAGGATGTGTGGTAAAATGATTTTGTTCCAAATTTTAATTGTTTATTTAAAAATTATAATGTTTTTACAACTAATTTTTAGTTTATATTGTATTTTATCCAAACTGTATAGTGTAGGGGGCCTTATTGTAACTATTTCATATATATATATATATATATATATATATATATATATATATATATATATATATATATATATTGTATACGACAACCTCTATTCTTTGAGGCTTTACCCTAAACAACATGTGCTTAAAACAATACAGATGGTAGCAGGTTTGACAACGGGACTAAAGGTGTCATCAAAGTTAAGGCCATGAAGTTTAGAGAATCCCTGGGCGACTAAGCGACCTTTATAACGGTCAAGGATACCCTTGTTGCCAAACTTATGACGGTAGAGCCAGCGACAGCTAACTCTGTTGGCATGAGGGGGAGGGGGAACAAGCTCCCAAGTGTGGTTTGACTGGAGGGCAATCATCTCAGAATCCATAACAGATTTCCAGTTGGGGTCACAAAGAGCCTGAGCAGTAGAGCGATGGATAGGAGAAATGTCCGAAATGGCTGACAAGTTAAAGATCTGTTTGGGTCGAAGAGACCTAGTACGAAAGCGAGTAACCATAGGATGAGATGGGGGGGGGAGGGGTGGGGTTAGGAGATGAGGAAGGAGTAGTAGACGAGTCACTAGGGGAAGATTCAGTTGTGGAAGATACTGGAGAAGGTGAGTCACTAGAAAGAGATGCAGGTTTGGAAGGAGTGAACGTGACCATAGGAGGAGAAGGAGTGATATCTTCCTTCTTCTTTATGTTGATGACATTATCATCACTGCTTCATCCACTACCCTCATCTCTCGTATTATCTATCGTCTCTCCTCTGAATTTCTAATGTCCAATTTGGGTTCTCTTTCATATTTCTTGGTATTGATGTGTCTCGTACTAATGAGGGTTTGTTCTTATCTCAAACCTCGTTTGCCAAGGAAATTTTGTCTCTTGCATACATGTCCTCTTGCAATCCTAGTAGCACTCCCCATGACACAAAATCTAAACTCTCTCCTCACGGCTCTCCTGTCTCTGACCCTACTCTCTACCGGAGCCTTGCCAATGCTTTGCAATATCTTACCTTCACTCGTCCTAATATTACATATGTTGTTCAGCAGCTTTGTCTTTTCATGCATGATCCGCATGAACCTCATCTTCCTGCTCTCAAGCGTATCATTCGCTATATTCAGGGTACTTTATCTCATGGTCTTTTTCTTCGACCATCTTCCAATGATTGCTTGGTCTCCTATTCTGATGCTGATTGGGTTGGGTGTCGTCATACGCGTCAGTCCACGTATGGGTTTTGTGTTTACTTGGCAACAATCTCGTTTCTTGGTCCTACAAACAACAACATGTTGTTTCTCGATCCTCAACTAAGGCTGAGTATCGTAGGGTGGAAAATGTGGTTGTTGAAGCTGCTTGGCTTCATAATCTTCTTCTCGAGTTATCATGTCCATTATCTAAAGCTACGGTTGTGTTTTGTGATAATGTGAGTGCCATGTATTTGTCGTCTAACCCTGTACACCACCAACGTACCAAACATGTGGAAATAGATTTACATTTTGTTAGGGAACGTGTTGTTATTGGACATGTGTGTGTCTTGAACGTGCCATCGGCTCATCAGTTTGCAGATATATTTACTAAGGGTCTTCCTACACAGTTGTTTATGGATTTTCGGGACAGTTTGAACATTTGTAAACCCCGTGCTCAAACTGATGTGTAACGCTCTGTTCCGAATCGCTTTCCTAATTCGGGACTGTGGCTTGAAGATGGGTTATCATAAGGCTGAGGGCCTTTGGAAAAGAGAGATTGTGACAACCCGAAATTTCTATTCTGTACAACCATTCACTTCAATAGAAGTCAGAACAGTTTCTGCTAACTTTTGAGCTGTGTAGAGTCAGTTTGAGTGTTCTAAAGCCTAGTACTTCAGGAGATAACAGGAGAGAGGATGCCCTAGGGTTTATTGTGCAACAATAATGTCCTAAAACTCCAAGAGTTTGGAGTTTACGGCCTAAACAAGGTGTTTACGGCCGTAAACCCTAAGGGGGTATAAATATGACACTTAGTCATATTTACCACTTTTTCACATTTTCAAGATCCAAAACTCAAATCCTCTCAAGTATCATCCGATTTTCCTTCTTGATCTTCAACTTTGTAAGTGTTTCTTACCCTAAAAAGTTGATATCTTACTTAATCTAGTGATCTTACATGATTCCATCCGTGAAATCATTCCATATGTGTAGATCTTCAAGTTTCACCAAGAACACACACTAGTGTTCTTGGACTTTTAGCACCTTTTCAAGCTTCTACATAGTAAGTACTCTTACCCTAGTGTGTTATAAGACTTGCTACACTTCTTAATCATCTAGAAAACATAAGGAAACACAAGATCAAAGGTGCTTACGGTCCAAGATGTTCTTGGACCGTAAACCCTAATGAAGGGGCCAAAGTGTGCCCTAGTCCCTTACCAAGCCTTGGATACTAGTCTAGATACCATCCTTGATGTGCTTAGGACTTAAAACATCAAAAAGACCATAAACCATTTGGGTTTACGACCGTAAACCCAAGGAGAAATGGTCCAAGGACCGTAAACTCCACAAAGGGGTGAAATGGTGCCCTAATCACTTCCTAAGGCTTAAACATGAAGTAGGAATGCTTCTTATGACCTTTAAAGCTTCAAAACACAAAATGGTAAAAGTACCATGAGTTTACGGCCGTAAACTCATGGGTTTACGACCGTAAACTCAATGAGAGTTGTCCCAAAACCGTAAACTCCAAAAGAGTTTACCCTTGGACCCCAAACTCAATGGCCAAGTCCTACAACCCTTATATGAAATACTTAGCACTTATAGCACTTAAATCAAGTGTTTTACATGTCTTAGGATGTCTTTGATGGGTTTTGAGCATTCTAACACTCCTAAGTGTACATGCAACCCTAAATACCTTGGATCTATGTTTTCTCTATTATACATGCAATTATGAAATTTCCAAGGTATTACCCTATCTAGCATACAATACTTGATACTTGGGTAATCAAATGGATAGAATACATACCTTTGTTTGATGTAGCTTGTCTCCATGAAGCTTGAGTGCCTAGTGCCCCAAGTGTGACACCTCAAATGGTTCACACAACACCAAATGCACATGGAATGACTTGAGAGAAATGGAACACTCCTTGAAATCGTATAGCCCTCATATTCACACATTAGTGCACGATTTCTTGAGCCATGGGATTCTTTTATATGGTGGCTATTAGGGTTACACCATGTAACTCATAACTTTACCCATTCCTTATGCTCCATGGATTTTAACCTCCATGGAGTATCCATGGGTCACCCCATGGACTTAGTCCAACATAAGAAATCTTGGATCACAAGCCCACATATATAAGAATGAATGATTTACACAATCAACCCATATATTTAATTAGTCTCCTTTTGATCACTTAATTAATTCCAAATTAATTCTTGATCAATACTAATTAAATAACCTTATTAATATATTAGAACTTATAATATATTAACCAACCTTAAGTGTTATTTCTCTCATTATAGTCTATCCAAATGCATGATGCCATGCAACCCAAATGGACCATGCCGGGTCGGGTCAAGTCTTACCAATTATAGTTATGGACTTAGACATTAATCCAACAGTCTCCCACTTGGATAAGTCTAAAACTATTATTGCTTATGACTTCAGGAACCGATCAGCAATCGTAGCTCTCAAAAGCTTCTGTCGAACTCTGACCTTGTCGATGAACTCTGACTTAATCATTCAGGAAGAGCGACTTAGTTATTCTGGAAGTCAAAACATGCAAAGTGAAACACAAGAATAAATGAATCAAATATGGTATCAAACCCTATGAATATAAATAAACACTTTTATTTATCACCATACTGATTACTCATTATTCATTGTTTCGGTTTTATCAACTTTATACTTGAATTAAAAACACTAGTTGTCCCATGCTCCAAGCATGTACACTATGTTTTTCTTAAACAATAGCTCTGCCATACACCAAGTATGTATTCTATGTTTGTCTATGATCCTTACTTTGTGAAATAAACCAATTGAACATAATTTCAATGATTCTAATTTCACACTCCCAAATTCTTATCGAAAAATGTGAGAATTTCAAATTCCTATCATTTATCGAAATCTGTTTAGATTTTAAACTTATATGCACTGACCCTCCTGTAATGAATATGTACAAAGTCACAAAGACTTGTCAACAGT